ACCTCCTCCTCCTCCTCCTCCTCCTCCTCCTACTACTACTACTACTACTGTTACTACTACTACTACTACTACTACTACTACTATAATTATAATACTATTACAACAACAACAACTACTACTACTACTACTACTGCTACTACTACTACGAACTACTACTCCAGCTGTCCCTCCTACGCCTCCTCCTCCTCGTCCGCCTGCTGCTACTACTCCTCCTCCTACCGCTCCTGCTGCCGCTTCTAATGTCATCTACGACGACGGCTGCTGCACTGCTGCTGTGCTATTACTATTGCTACTTACTACTGCTTGCATGTTCAAGAAATAAAACTACGACGGGCGAAACATGAATAACAGCAATCCTCAGAATCACTGCGATGCACAAACAAACAGCAGTACAAGTAGCTTACATTTCTAAGGGAGCAATGCACAGCATAAGGTGCGTACGCATGTGGGCATATACGTGCACATATATATATATACACACACATACACACACACACATTTTATATGTGTAAGGGCGTGTGTGTGGATGTAGGATGTGGCTGGTGCATGCATGCATGCATACATACATACATGTGTATGCATATTGCCGTCTTTTTTGTATGTAGGTATTACCGTAATGCAATTTGCTGTGCTGTCCTGTATTGTCATGCATTGTATTGTATTGTGTATGTATGTATATATGTATGTATGTGTGTATGGATGGCTGGAAGGATGGATGTATGCATGTGTGTGTTTACATACCTATATGTTCATACACTTGTGTGTGTTGATGCATGCAGCCAGCATGCAGCTGTAGCTGCAGGGCCTGCCAAGAGCCGCACCAATCAGAAACTACTAGCAACCCTTAGAGTGCCATAGCTTCGAAAAACCGCAAGATGGGTTCAGAATCTTAGACGGATCTGTCTGAACCGTCTGAACCCGCCGTGATCCCGAAACTCCAAACCACTGAACTTTAAACCGAATCATCCCCGGCACTGACAAGGCCGTGGCGGGCAGTTTCGCCGATACACAAGGACTCTCCCGGTCGAGCAGGCACAGGCCTGGGACTGCGTTCCAATGCGCAGCGCGTGTTTACACACGCAACAAAAACCAAAGATAACTCTACACACCCCTCAGCTGACATGGCGACATCATCTTTACGAACACTGGGGCACGGCGACGCTTGATCACCCAGCGTCCCGCACAAGCTATGACTCACCCTGCTAGCAGCGAGGTAGCGCTTCCTACGGCCATCTAATCTGGACTTCAAAACAACGCAAGCACAGCCCATTCCACTGAGAGCTTTGCCAAGTAGTTGCAGTCATGATTGAGAGCAAGACCATGTACGTGGTTGTCATGTCCTTAAATTAAAGCAAGAGATCGCGCTATGTCCAAAGATGCAATGCCACGGTTTCTCATTTCTGCAGAAGGGCATGGGCATTCTCTGACCTCTGCTGTGCTTGAGTCCTTTCTCATGCTGAGCTCGACACCAACGCCCGATTCTCCCCGAAGAAACCTGATTTTTGCAGTCGAGCAGGTGGCGCTGAACCCCAAATTATTCGAAAAAAAAGCCTCCTGATGCTCCCCGCCGTGTGGGGCTGAAGGGTTGGCATAATCGAACCCCGGTACAAGAGACCCTTTACCCTACCCTCTTTTTCCTGCTTTTCAACAGTTTTAAGGGGGATTTAGCAGTGGTTCCGCTTTCCCCACGCACCAAATCCCTAAACCTCAACCCCTAAACCCTAAACCCTCATCCCTTTTTACACCTGGACTATGCATATGCCAGGAACCGAGGCGCCGACTGTGCTGTGGACTCGTGCCACACGGCTACCCCAGATAAACCCTAAACCCTCATACTTGCAACTGGAGCCAACTGGTCTTGGCGCGAAGCAAACAGCTGGGCCGCAGACTCCGCAGGCTTGGCGGGCCTGTAACATCCAGCATGCTACCAGTAGTTTAGGGTTTAGGGGTTTAGGGGTTTAGGGGTTTAGGGTTTGGTTTACCTATAGTCTCCATTGTAGTTCCTTTTTTGGTTTAACCAGATCTATATTAAGGATCCTAAAAGGTAACCCAAAAAAGGAACTACAATGGAGACTATAGCTATGCTGTGGCAGCTACAGAATATTATTCTGTTTTCTTACTGTAAAAGATACCAGGCTCTCCGAATAAATATGATACTACAACAAGAATTGATAATCGTGTCGATTATTACTATTGCGACTATTCTCGTTGCTATTATTGATTCTTTTTCTTATGAATACTGACTATTCTTAGCCACTTTCTTTGCACTGAACTTGGGGAAATGGCTCATCGCAACTTGCGGAGTAGAGGGTCCAAGGCTTGGTCTCTCGGGGGGGCTAGGCTAGGAGGATGTCGGAGCCCCGTTGACTCTTACTTCCCATGTCTGCACCTGGCTTAGGCTCTGGAAAAAAGTGGTTCTCAACGGGCACAGTATCAACTAAATCACTATCAGGCCATGGCATGCTATGCCGAGGTCAATCGGCGCAGTACGGTTCTGACATAAACAGGCCTAGCACAATCATACTTGTCTATGTTGCAGGCAACTCGGAAATTGTCCCCATCCACAGCCTCTCTGAGATTTGTTGACAAACCTCGCTGAGCCACGCAGCCTTATTTCGGGAAGAGATGTGCGCGGCCTCGTGGGCCAAAGATCCCACTCATGCCAGCGACCGTCCCAGGCCCCGGTCAGTAAGACCGGGCCGGTAGGCCCGGGCCTGGAGCAGAGCTGCATCTCAAAAGGGGCAAGGAGGAGTTGGAGATTGGAGAAGACAATACGCACCTCCACTGCGAAATGCACCCACACCCACACCCACACCTACACATCACACATCCACGGAGAGGAGAAGAGGCCGAGAGACGTAGCTGAGGATAGTGTCAAAGCAATGTCGGCTTAGTCGGCTTTGTCACGAGCGGCTATGTAAGTAGGGTGCAGCCTAAAGGGCAAGCTGGTCGCTCATTTATGCAGTATTCCGTCTCTAGATGTAGATGTGTTCCGCGGCCTTTTACCACCCTCAGACCCATGAGAGCTGGTCATGCCGCAACACCTGAATGCTGGCGCACATGCCTGTCTGCCTGCCTGCCTGCCTGGCCGCATAAGGAGTGGGCGTCGGGCTGTCAGTCTCGTAATGCTTCTGCATGGAGGCGAGACAACTGCTTTCAGCCGCTCAGCATCAGGTGATACAACCACCCAAGCGAAGAGGATTGCTGTCTCGCCACTGAGTACTTCTGTATACATCCAAGAGATATACAGCAAGCAAGCAGAATGTGTGCCAGGGTGTTGAGGTTTCTCTGACCCTCCGCTCGACATTCAAAGCAGCAAACCTAGACCTTCGAAGTGGTTCGGTCTTTGTCGGTGTCTCGTTCCATAGTAACATAATAACCATAATCATAGTTCGAATGTCATTTTAAGAACCGTAGTCATAATAACTGCGCCTGTGCCAATGTAGTCAGCAGCCGCATTCTGCGCTACGGCTTACGGGACATGGATCAAAAAGACGCCGAGTTTGAGGGCTCGACGTCAGCAAGACGGAGTTGATTCCTTCGCGGTTTGTGGCATCATGCCGGGTGCTCACCTCAGGGATCACAACCCAACCATCTGCAACCGCAATGCAATGCAAATACATCCCCTGCCAATGGCTCGAATACCTGCTTGGTATGCTTTGCAAAGATCAGAAAACTGTGATGTCGCCTGGGCTTTTCGGCTTCCACCCTCCCCCAGCCATCGGTTATCTGAACTGATGATGGTAATCACTCTCTTGTGCTCGCTTGCAGTTGCAGTTTGATTTGGAGGATGTACGGAAACAGTTATGGCACAACCAAATGAGCAACACTTCCCAAAACGAGAATTCGGTGTCTCATTGGTCTGCTTTTGCGGTGTTGACGCTGTAGCGGTAAGGGTTTTGGTGGCTGTTCTTTGCTTACTAGTGCTGCTGCCTCGGTTGTTATGATGGTTGGGGGTCCTTGTGTATGTCGATGCTCCTTCCTGATGTGCCTTCGGAGTGATGGATAGACACACAAACAGACAGGTAGGCAGGCACACACAACAACACACAAACACACACACACACATAAAAGCTCGGCGTACAGTTGGGCTGCTGATCAGCAGGTCAGGAGCGGGCTAGCTGGCGGCCGGAGCGTACATCGTGTAGCCTTGCCTCACGCCAGTCAAAATCTGCTCATGCCGGTGCAGTGAAATAACTGACTCGCGCGTGCTCGCGGGGGAATGGAAGCAGAAATGCCCTACTAGACTTATGCCGTGTGACAAGACTGGAGCATCTTTTGTGCATATCATGCGATCATGCGCCCCTTCCTTGCTGCTTCGTCCAAAGTTAACTTAGCGAAGCATGGCACTAACTCTTTCCTGGATACTGCCAGTGCCCACACGCTCGCACCCTCTTGTGTGGCAACAGAGCAGAATTCGCACCTTGCCGTCCGCACACCCAGTAGCAATGACATTGGGCCAATCCTTGGCAGCTGACGCAAACATCATTGCTCTCACAGCTTCAACTTGCGCGCTTCCCCAATCCGGAAACCCCAAACTGGGCGCCAAGAGCTGTTTTCAAATAATTATGCTCAAGCCTCAAGTTGGCGTGCCTATCCGACAGTTTCTTCGAAAGTGTCTGGAGGGCATGTCAACTTGAGGCGAAACCACCCCTTCGAGCGGAAGCTAAACAAAGAGCCTCCTGGAGGCGTTTTTTTCGGACCCTCCAGGACTTCTTGTCCTAGTGCGCAAGGGCTTTGTCTCTGAATGTCTTGCATTGCGTTTTCCAGGGCTCTATGACTCTATGACTTCTTGCAGATACAGAAGCGCGAGGCTTTGTGGTAGACGATTCATGGCAAGGCATTCTCTGCTGCCGCCTGCTCTAATCTACATGCTTCCTGTTCCAGCATGCCACTCACTCACGCGCTGCATGGGCCGCGCCGGCCTTTGGCTCTGCCTTGGCCTTGGGCTCTGCCTTGGCCTTCGGCTCTGCCTTAGCCTTGGGGTCTGCCTGCGGCGCCACGTCTGGCTCAGCCTCCGCTTTTGCATCGGGGGATGTCACGGCACCGCCGAAGACGGAAGCGAAGAAGCCTCAGCCGTTCGAGCTCTCGGAGCCATGAGCTGCGTATGTGCCCGTATCGAGATCCCCTGCCTGGCTCCTCCGGTACGTCTTCTTGAGCCTGCGTGAAAGCAGCAGCGGAAAAAATGCTCGTGTGACAACAACACGAGGCCAGCCTTGACATTCCAACGGTGCTCGATCTCTGTGAACTCTTTGGTTTTGTCGGAGGAGTCTTGCATCCCTGAGCGGCAACTGGGTTCTTTTGGCCAAGCACGCATTTCCAGTGCTTCTGAAAGTTGCCGGGACTGAGTTTACTGAATATCTTGCAGTGCCCAAGATGGCACTATGCAGTGCCTGGATGCATGCCCAACCGGCCCGTTGCAGTCATTCCAAAAGGCTGAAAAAAAACTAACATGCTTCTGAACACATATAGTTACAAATACAAAGCACAAGGATACAGATCTTCGTATGCAGAACGAATTACGACCTGGAGGCTGTCTGGTGCATACTGTTGCATGGAAGGCATCAAGGTATGCACATATCTCATACCGAACCATGACATGTCATGTCACATCACACCATACGAAGCACAATCATGAGAACGACTCATAGACATACACGTTGTAGCTGCATGTGTATACAATCTGTGTGTCTATCTATCTACTTGCCTATATATATATATATCTATATCTACAGTATCTAACTATCTATCTACGTATATATATATATGTGGTTGTACACTGTGTGTTCTGCGGCACCCTCTCCCCCCCTGGTATCGCCCCATTTACACGAGTTTAAATATCTATCGAAAAAATATGAGAGTATATATGTATATATGTATGTGTATGGACACGTGTGATTATTTGTTTATTTGTTGTTCATTCGATAATATGTAAACGCATAAGTTACAAACACACGCACACACACACACACCATGTATATATGATATATACATTTAATACCTACACACATGCATGCCTGCCTGCCTGCCTGCCTGCCTGCCTGCCCATATATGTAACATACACAGCATACGCAACATGAACAGCAAATATCGCTTGCATAACATACAAACTAAAATCGTACGGAAACAACTATGTAACACAAGCAGGCATACATACATAAATGCATGCATGCATACATGCATATATACGTACGTGCCTACATAAGTAACACCATGCATACATAAATTATTTACATTCCGTTGCATTATTGTGCATCCCACTAAATTGCATGACATTACCATACATACATACATACATACATACATACATACATGCATTCATGCATGAACATGCACGCACACCTGCATAAATACATAATGCATGCATACATACACACATACATACATACATACATACATACATCCTACATACATAGGTATACATACATACATACATGCATGCATGCATGCATGCATGCATGCATGCATGCATGCATACGTACATACATACATACATGCATACGCACGCACCTACGTATACACAGGCATGCATCCATCCTTCCATCCATCCATCCACATCCATCCGTTCATGCCTGCATGCACAGACACACACACACACCCACCAGCCTTTGTTTGGCTTTGCAGATGTGTCACTCAGTGAAAATCTAAAGACACTGACAGATTCATGAACATCCACCTCAGTCAAGGCTCGCTGAATGAAGGGCGCAAGCGCCCTTTGCTCATCGGCAGTGAGCAAGAAATCACCTTCATAGAGGACTCCATCGTCACCTTCTTCTGGTGGCCCTCTCCTCGTCATGAAGGTCTCGACAGCTCCCGTCTTGCCTCGAGAGCTCTGGAATAATATGAAGAACTGAACTTATGTACGGCTCGCGTTTCCTAAGTCATGACAAATGTTGGGGATGCTGCCGAACACGGCGAGTCTAAGTCCGCCACCTTCGAGATACTCGTCACGGACTGCTCGCAGAAACTGAGCTGCGACAGGCTGCTTCACCGGGGCAGAGGACACGCCTGCCAAGCTGGCAACTGGGGCAAGGTTTGTGCTGCAGAGGCTTACAACAGTCTGAGACGGCAGTGTCAGATGACCTCGCAGCACGGCGATTTGCTCCTGCGTGATTGCCGCGCCAAAATCAGCCGCTGATGCACCGACTCCCAGTGTTCTCAGAGGTCCGAAGATGTCCTTGCACTCATGTCAAGGTTGTCTAGAGAGCACACAGGTCACATAATGTCCAAAAAAGATAGAATGTGAGCTAGCAGGATCTAACAGTCAAGAAGGGCTGAGTGTCCAATGGCTCGTGCCAGTCTCCCTGCACCTTAACAGGTTCCGGAACCAGAACGACCGTCTCGGCGTGGAAGCTCTTGGGCGGTTCGGGTGCCTCAACCCGTGGCGCTGGCATCTTCAGAAGCCCGCCATCTTCCGTCAAGATGGCTACGTCCGACAGGTCGCAGCTTGCAGCACTGTTGATCAGCTGCATGCAGAAATCCAGATCCCCTCGAAAGGAGTAATGGGATCGCATTTTTGTCAGGGTGCTTTGAAGCAGATCCTCGTTGATAGCTTTCCGCATGATCTCCTGGCTCTCCTCGTGCTCGCACTCGGTCAAAGCACCGACAGCCAGGCAGGCCCACCTGAAGTTTGGTTGCTGCAAAACCCTAGGGCTCCAGTTGCCTAAATAGTGGGTTACTAACCATATATTATGTACCCCAGTAACCTACTATTTCTGTAACTGGAGCCTTAGGGAAGCCTAGGAGTCTTTTCAAGGATCGGCCAAGCGACGGCAGCACGTCTGCAATGGAGCTGACATGCACCTCCGCAACGCGCAGAATCTGGTCCTCTCAGAGCCGGCCGGACAAATAACAATAGTAATAAGAATAATAATTGTAATAGTAATAATAATAATGATAGCAATAATAGTAATGATAGTAATAATAATAATGGTAATAATAATGATAATAATAAATACAAATAACTTGGACGAACAGCTTTGGTGGTCAGCGGTTACAATGGACATCGCAGGAACTGAGATTATACCACTGTGGCAGTCGGCACACATGTGGAGCATGCTAGCATACCCGTGGACGTCGGACATGCAGAAAGCCCGACATCGACTAATCGCCAATATAGGCATGTCCACCGTCGTATACAGTCTCTAAAGCATTCTGACGGTCCAGGAAGGTGAAGGTGTGAGGCAGCTCCGGGTGAACCAGAGCCCAGCGGACCTCTACTCCGAAGCGGCAGCAGCTAGGCGACAATGGCCAGCAAACTGCATCGGAGAGAAACTCAACGAGCTCAACCCTGAACCCTCAACCCATCTCAAAACTGAGAGCAAGGCTGGCACGAATTGAGCTGCCACGGCCAGGGCGGCAAAGCAGCGATGCACCACCTCCGCACATGTAGTAGTACTCTATACACTAGACTAGCTGTACCATAATAGAGAAGTATGGCTGGTCATGTATAATGTAGCATACCATACTATAACATAACATAACTTGTAACACAACATAATATGACATAACCTACCGGTCCAACGTGTTCCGCAGGGCTCGACCGAGTCGGAGCTTCCCGGGGTATGTGTATCTACAGCGCTCCCCGTCCCCCATCCCATAAACAAATCTTGAAGCCTTAACCTTAAATCCTGAAGCCTCAAGCCGTATAGAAACGCTTCTAGTAACCCCTAAAGTGAACACCTGGAAGCTAGCGATTGGTGCTTGGGCTCCCCATACTTCTTCCTTAAGAGCAGGAGGACAATGAGGCTGCAAATTTTCCGGTACCTTGCAGCGACGCGCTAGAGCAACCCTCTATGATGTTCCAACTTCCCAGTACCTTATAGCAACCCTAAACCTTAAAACCTAACCCAAAACCCAAAAACCCGAAACCCAAAAACCCAAAACCCTAAACCCGGGCCTCGGAGCTCTCGGATTGCTTGCTCAGCACGTTGAGGAGAAGCCGCGGGCCCCCAGCATCCAAAAACTGACTTGCCGCCTTTTTCGACTCTGTCCTGAAGGCTTTCTTACAGAGAGGGTTTTTTTCCCTCTCGCATGGCAGAGGGTTTAGGGTTTAGGGTTTCTATTTTTTTCTATCTTACAGAGAGGGTTTAGGATTCAGGGTTTTTAGGGTTTCTATTTTATACAGATTTCCCTAAGGCTCCAGTTACCTAAATAGTAGGTTACGGGGGTACATAATATATGGTTAGTAACCCACTATTTAGGTAACTGGAGCCCTAGGGTTTTACAGAGAGCCCAATATTATCCCCATACATAAATAAGGAATATACACCTTAAACTGGAAGGGGATTGCTTTCATGATTTAAGGTATTCCCCGGAATTACTTGATATTGGGCTCTGAGGGTATAGGGTCGCCACAGGGGCGGCTATGGCGGTCTCTACAAGGGTTCCAGCAGGGATTACTTTGAGGAGTCTTACAGGTTTAGAGTTGCAGCACTACTGCTGCAGCTGCTCCAACACCGAGCCCTCGTGTTACTTGTGCAATCCTGCATTTGCTACTCCTCCGACACTGCCCTACTGCTCCCACCACATACGACCATGATCACGATAGTGACGACGACGACGACTAGCTGTTCTACTCCTGCTGCAGGTACAAGTATCACTGCTTGGGGCAAACTGATATTCGGGGTTGCAATAACGCTCAGCAATAGTCCAGTATCCTACATACCACTTCAGGATCAAAACAACTACGTACTGCGACGTACCATGACAGTGTAATACAGGCATTCATTGTTGCTCGATTTGCGAGCTCTCGCTGGTTGCTTCTGAGCAAAATAGAACATTGGGAAACAATGTCCCAGGCGCAATAACACCTTCAGGATCTGGGCTGCAGCTGCACAAGCTTCCGGAGTGTGTACCTCTGCCTGACAGAATCACAAAGCCGACCAAAGCAAACAAGCTCTAGCACTTAATGTGATGGGGGCCTCGTCAAAGATGCGCAGCGGAACGGCGATGGCACCAGCATTCACGAAGTCATCACGATATTCTTTCGACGCTGCTGCCTGACTCGCTGACCGCATGATAATGAAATAGCCTAGGCGAGACCGACAGTGGCCTGCAAGTTCATGCAGTGGCACAGAGGAGCAACGACGCCGGAGTTCGCGTGGTGAGTGTCGCCCACACGCACGAGGACGTCAAATGGCAGGGCTTGCGCCAAGGATCTGTTGACGGCTGCCGGGCCACCGTCCGAGTCCGATGATGCCTTTTGAAGGAAGGTCCGCAAGGAAACCAAGATGTTGCACGCAATCTCCTGGGCTCTCGCAACTCGCACTCTGCAGGCGAGGTTGTTCGGCCGAAAGGGAAGACGCATCGGCCCCTTAACAAAGTTTTGGGCTTGGGTACAGTAGCTGCTGTTGAATCCATGGTTGCTTGCCCTATCTTGATCTGTACCGGCAGGCCACTGGTGCCTCTTTGTCTTCTTCTTCCGAGTCTACCTGAACCCACTTCGGCACATGGGACCCCGCAAAGCCGTAGAGGAAAGTAACCCAGCAAGAGAAAGTTTTGATGTTGTTGGGATGAATAAGATCGGGGTCTGAATCAATAGTGATACTATCCCCTTAGAGCCCCCAATATAGTACAGTATGGTATGTGCCAAAACCCAAACTTTAATTGTCAAGGCCCTTGTATTAGACAAAGATCCACGCCTTATTTGCGCTTTTGCCGCCTTCCCCAGGGGAACATGAGAAGAACAGTGTCGAAAGAATGACCGGTGAGGGCATTTTCTTTCAGGGCACTCTTAATTACTCTAAAGGCATCATAAGGCACCAATGGCACTATGACGCTTCTCTAAGCAGGGTATAATAACAAGTTGAAGATTTCGGCTAACACGATGTAGCTACCCAATTTTTTTTAAGAGCAGAGGTTGACCCTAAACGAGTGCTGGCTCGAAAGTGTAAGTCAGATTGGATGCTCGAAAAAGATGAGGAGGCCACGCAAGGGAGTGTTGATTCAAGGGTGAGACCGTCTCCCCGTGACATGCTCCATCAGCTGACGGAAAGGATGCGGACATGACGATGTGTCCATCTTTGCGTGGGGAAGCATTCCGCTTGCATGTCGGCTACAAGTAGTTAGGCTGGGACAACTGGGCACTGAATTCAGAGATCCTTTTGCCAGTTTTGGGGGAGGACTCTTACAGTGTACAGTATCTTGCAGTAGCGCGCCCTCATGGGGTCAGCGTTGCGCTGGTGTGGAGCTACCCCGGCAGAGCTGCATTGACGACATCCGCCATCCATGCGTGCACCTCTGACTGAGAACTTAACGTTTTTTTGATAAACCCTGAGTCCCATCGTTTCGGTGCACTGTCTTTGTCATTGTTTTCTCGTTCGCGGTGAGGCAAGCTATACCAGATCCACCTTTTGTGCAGCAACTGCGCCCTGGATTCTGATTGCCGGTGGCTTGTGAAGTCTACGAGCGGACGCGATTGCCACCCCACAAAACAAGTCAGAAGTCACCCCACCGCATGGCGCACAAGTCGCCCCACGTGTGCAAAGGTCATCCCCGAGATCGTTCTCAAGGCAGCCACATTCCCAAAACGATTTCGGTCTTCAGATCACATGTAGTTGTACCTTCGAGATGGCCTCTGCCAAGGACTGTCAACGCAAGCCAAATCATGTTCAATTGATGGCCTCTCTGCAAAGCACAGGATCTTTGTCATGCTGAGGCCGTGCCCGTACAAGCATCGGGTCTATCTCGAAATAAGCATTTTCTAGGGTGTGGACGCTGTTGTAGAATTACACATCAGTGCTGAGAACTGGCATCAGTATATGCTACGCTGCTTGTAGTCTGCCAGAGGAGGTCCATCTGACTTCAGGATATATGGGTCTCCAGGCAAACACTTTCTGAGACTGAGGGCCTGTAAAGAAAGGGCCGACGGCACTCCCAGAAAATGTTGTTGACAGCCCAACAGGCTTGCAAGGGGTGCTTGGCCAGACAAAAAAATGGAATAAAAGGATCGCGTACAAACAAAAAATGATTGAGTTGTGTGACATGCGATTCCCAGGTGTGGACGCTCATCGATGTGTATTTCAACCAAGCTACATAAAGTGACCCCCGGGTGTCTCGTAAATAAATAGAGCTGCATAAACGAAACACCAGGCGGTTGTGCTCTTGGTGACGAAAGCGATGAATAACGCCTTTTGCGCCAGAGAGAGCTCAGCTGCTGTTCCATGGTTCGTGGCCTCCCCTCCATCTGAGAACAAAGCCCATGTGACGTGGTATCACAGTTTTGCGGCGGTCACCGCAGGGCACAGAGGGATTGGGAAGACTTTCGTTTTGCGGAACGACTTCATACTTCCACATCTACCGGGTCAACCGTTCAGCACGGGAACGGCAAGCAAGAGCAGCGTGAAGCAGCATCCTCCGGACACACCCAGCAAGGTCATGTGCACTTCAGCCAGGCTTCTGCATCTCGAGTGGAGCTTCTCAGCGACTTGCATGCCATCATCATCCTCAGATCTCTCACCAGTTGAAGCTCCGTAAGCTTTCGGATTTCTGCGGAGTTGGACATGACTGCACGGCCCCCCTGTGCATGTTGCAACCAGGCATCAATCCATCAGAAACAAGATCCGTCCCTCGGCTGCCGGGAGTCTGATCGCCAACGATGTGAAACCAAAGCAACTCGCAGCGCAAGAGCCAACAGAAACCATGGGTTTAGGGTTTATAGGGTTTAGGGTTTATGACAGTGGTGGTTGCCCCACTTGGGCCAAAGCTGTTACACAGCCCCTTCTAGGCGAATCTTGCTGTCCACGGCACTTGTCTTCGCCACCAGTAGGATGAGCTCGGCTACGTGGAGGTTCACGGAGCGGCTTTTTGCATGCTCATGCAGAGTGTTCGATATTGGCCTCACTTCCCCTGCGACGATGTCCTGCAGGTGCTTTCCTGGACAGCTGAACTCGAAGGGGCCATGCTTCAGCTTCCCGAGAACGGTTTCTTATTGAGGGGGAGAATCTGAAGTCAACTTGGCTGCGAAGCGCATGGCTCCAGCATGCTTTCTTCTGAGAACTGTGATTTGTCATTGCATGTCGATCTGCATGTATTTACTTACTTCGGCCCTCTATTCTGCATGTCCACAGACTACAGCTGGGAGTCTCTAACGGCTCGACACTACGAAGAAAACGAGGCAGTTTGCTAGCAAATCCACATCCTTCAACCCACAGCCGGCTCTACCAGCCACCAAAACCGGATCTGCAAAGTATAAGCTTAATCCGCTATTCATTCCAATCCGTTGCTAGTCCAGCAGCTCGTGATTTTGGCCATGGCCGCGAAAGTGCGCAGCGCTGCACCCGCAAGCTTGCGATTGCTTGTGTACCTCAAAAATGCTTCGGCGCTCACACTCGGACACCCTAGCGCCAGGCATGAGGTTCGAGGTCTGCTTGAGTGAAACATCTTACATCCATAGGAGCTCCTCAAAATGCTTAGGGTTGCAGGGCTTGGACGCTTGCACCTCGGACACTCCGGCGAGGCCCTAAACCCTAAACCCGAATCCCAAACGCGGTCGGTTGACACTCCCTGGTTCCGGATTTAGGCCTGAGAGGAAACCCCACGACGAGACGGAAGCTGCCGGATCCTGCCTTTAATTAACCTCAAAGGCTGCTGGGCTTTTAAATCTTGGCAGTATGAAGTTCATAGGAATCCTACTATAATTACCACAAAACCCTAAACCCCAACACCCCTGTCCGAGCTGCAGGTCCATCACAGTCGCCACGAGCTGCACATCCGCACCTGCTGGCGGAAGGCCTAGCTCGGAGACAAACGCTTCCTGGTCGTCATCGCTGAAGGTGTAGCCACCTGCAGGGGCTGCTGAGTCTGAGCCCGATACTTCCAGAAAAAAACTACCCCATGAATCACCAGATTCAGGCCTATGTGGTTCAAGGCACGTAGTTGGATTGAGAGGTGTTGAGCTCCCTCTTAACCCTAAACCAGTAAACTCCTATGGTACTTCTGCTTGATCGGCTGTCTGCGTCTTCGATGTTCGGAAGAGGCTTCGGGCTTTACTGAAGGCTTTCGGCGTAGGACTGCGCTTCATCTTGACATGTGCTCTATCCGAACTAGCTACATTCAATGAAACATGTTAGAATGTGATTTGTACTAACATGATACCATGTAAGAGTATGATATAAAGCGACAAAATAGTATAACATAACTTAATACCATATAAAATGTTGTTTCATGGCGGTGTAATACTACATAACATAATACAATATAACGTTATATAATGCAACCTACTATGCAATATAACATGGTATGGTGCGATATGATGCAATATCGCGTAATAAAAGACAATGGGCATATACATATATATATATAGATGATGCAATTTATTAAATTATAGTTTAAGTTACAGTGATATAATCCTAGATAACATGATGTAATACAATGACAACATAATGCATCACGGTGTACTGTAATATAAAATACTGTGATATACGAATATACAAATACAGTGATACTTCGGTATTCCTGCGGCGGCATGCCTAGTCTGCAGTGCTGCCTCGTGCAACAAAAAAAGGTTTGCCAATGCCCCGTCCAACAACACCCTCGAGCCCAGCGCAAGCAACCCATGGCCATAGACTTGGATGTCATGTCGAGGCAAATTCGCCGAGCCATTCGACTTACACTCCTCCCTCGTAAGGACGGTTGGTGACTACATCATGTCATTGCCAGCATTAGCCCGAGGTCTGGACTGTTCTCCCGACCCACCACAAAGCTTTACGAACGAAGCTGCCGATCCCTCCTCTTGAAGAAAACAGCACCCAAGCTCCGGACTCCAAACCCCCGAGTCCTACAGTGCCTCCATAATAGCTCCCGGTGCTCTGCTTCGCTGCTCTCTCCCGATTCACGAGGTTGGCAACAACTTCGTAGAGCTCGGAAGCGGTCACCAAAGCCTGGGGGTCTGGTTGGAGGCTTCCAGGGGTTTAGGGTTTAAGGGTTTCAGCACTCACTCTCGGACTTACCTTGGCGAGGTTCCTGGTACGACGACCGCACATTGGGGTTTAGGGTTTAGGGCATTCTTGAAACCCTATCGCAGCTTGTGATGGGTTTCTAAGTCTTCATGCTCTCGCACTTCGGACTGCCCGAAGGGCTGAGTGCTTGTAGGATTACGACGGATACTTCGACTATCATCTCGTGTGTGCTGTCGGTCTGTTGAGAACATGACCAACCATCATGATTAGAACAAGGCTTCGGGGTATATTCTAGAACAGCTTTTGTCAGAAACCCAAAGCCAGAAATGTAGCAATTCTTCAGGCCCCTAGATCACGTGCATTGGACCAAACAGCACAACACAACTTGGCCATCCTAACGCCAAAATCCCCTTTTATGTTCGCTGAGGCACTCGGACACACAAGTGTGGCTCGGACTTGAGGCCCCGAAGGACCAAGAGGCAATGCCTTGCTGATCCAGTTTCCAAGTCAAATATAGCCTTTGGGATTGTACTGGGGATATAGATGATATCTCAAAAATCTTAAAGCGCCACGTAGTCTACTACTAAGATGCCGGATCTGCTCACTGACCCGATGGGGAGCTCGAAGGACGCAGAGGATGGCGAGAGCATGCTCGACAGTCAGTGTGTTGAGCTTGTTCCTACTCCGGTCGAGCTGCTCCTGGGCTCTTGAAGAACTCAAGAGTTTAAGTTACCATATATGGGGATACTCACCGGATATTTAGGTATCCTTAAGCGTGGTAACATAGACCAAGTTCCTTAACAAGAGCTCAGGCTCAATGATGTAATCCACCAGTCCCGGATCACAAAGTCGGCAGTCGGGGCTCACAACATCTGCCATGCCTCTGAAAGCACTTGTTTTGAACGGAACACCATTTCGGGAGAGTCACCTACTGCGTGGACATTGAGGGCGTCGTTGTGTAGGACAAGGCAGATCTAGAATGAAGCAGAAGCCCGATTATACCTCCATTGTACTCTGCTGTCCCTTTTGCACTAAACTGCACCTTGCAAGAGACGCAAGTGGAGGTTGGTCACATTCACGTCACGGAATCGCAGCGCAATGGCAACCTGACTGCCCGTGAAAGTACAATGGCCACTAATGGGGGCCTCAACTGTTGAATTGCTGATTCTGACCACTAGAGTAGCCCTACCCGAGCTTGGTTAGAATCTATAGCTATCACAGCAACAGGCATGAACATGCGCACAGGGCTATGCCCCTTGCCTAGGATTTCTGAGCCCGACTGAGCATCCCACAAAGGCCCGAAAGAAGGGCACGCAGAACTCCGCCTGCTGGTACGCGTCCCCCGCTCGAAACAACGTGATCAGCGCCTCTGCGCACCAGAGCCCCAGGACGGAGCCTCGGGTGTGCGTCGTTTCTCCGGCTGCAGTTCCAGGTGAGAAACTCTCTCCTTAAGGGTCCATGTAACCATGTAGTAGATACTTTGGCCCTGAAGTGCCCGTCTAAGGACTACTTCAAGGCCAAAGCATGTACTATATGGGTACATGGGCCCTTATAGGGTTTCTTGTGCCCGGGAGCTGTTCTCATACTTCTGCAGGGAATCCAGAAGCAATGCCGCATAGGCTGTCATGGTCCGGTGCGCCCCACCGGGATTGGCCTCACATCAGGCTGTGCATCTCTCTCATTCTGTACTGCGCTATACACTACTATGCTACTCACTGCTACTCTATATCTATCTATATATATCTATATATATATCATACAACCTATTATGTTACATTGCAGTGCACTACACGACTGCACCATACCAGGCCAGACTAGACCATGCCATAGTAGTCTCTCCCTCCCTCCTTCTCCATCAGCACTGACAGAAGCGGGGCTTCGTCCATTTCCTACCCGTTTAGGCTCCATGCGGATCCATGCGGGCCTCTTCCCCAGCTCTGTTTTTGAAAGCTGTCTTGACATGTATTTCTGCACCGCAACCACCTAAGCTCCCCAGCTGTACTTTGCCGTGCCCCACCTGGCAAGGCTTGCCTAAGAGACCTGGTTCGTTCAGTGTTATACTATCAGGTGATATGCAGAGACTCATGAGATCTCATGAGCAAAGATTGGCCTTGGGACTAGCCTGCCGCTTCGCAACGCACAGACAGAGACAAACATGCACTGCAGTAGCTACGGGCCAGATACTGCACTTCTCTTTCTCTGCATCTGTGAGGGTCGGCTCAGGCATTCAAATGAATCCTGCATGCCTCTGGCACGGGCTTCGTTCCGATGTCTGGAGACCCACACTTTGAGGGCTAGCACACTACCAAAACAATACCAAAACAGATCCACTCCCGGCCCCCAAGCAGGGCGAGAGATGTGATCGAGAGATACCGAGAGGGCTAGACAATCTGGCGAAGCCCATGAGCAAGTAAGATCTGCAAATTCCGCAATCTGTCACTGCATTAGACTTCACACTGCATGTGCTGTGGATGATGGCAGAAATCATGCCATGCCCCTTCTGCGGCCTCTCACAGGGTCAGCCTGACCCTCGGTCCTACGCTTTCAATGGCCTCATGTAGACTCTTCTCATTTCAGCAACGAGGCCACCTCTTGGATGCCATAGTAGAGGCCGGTGATGGCCCCAAGCACACCGACAACCATGCAAACGGAGTTCAGAACCCACTCGTAGCCTCGAACC